GATCCACATGTGCTTAGTCTTGATCAGCTCAATCCCTTTATCCAGCATCCAAACTACAAAGCCAACTCCAAGGGCAACGTATGACTTCTTGGTCAAAGAAATTAAAGCATTTTTAATTTCTTTGACCAAGAAGTCATATGTTTCCCTTGGAGTCATTCTTTAATTTCTTTGACCAAGAAGCCATACGTGGCCCTTGGAGTTGGCTTTGTAGTTTGGATGCTGGATAAAGGGATTGAGCTGATCAAGACTAAGCACATGTGGATCTACGAGAAGATCAAGAACTTGTTCAAGAAAAATGAAAATGATGGATCTACTACGACCACTACCCCTGCCTCCCATAGCTCATAGATCTCAAATCCAAAAGCTAAAGGTAACAGACACATGCAGAGGGTATAGGCGATCAAAACAGAGGCCAATTCCTTAAACAACATGATGTCTAAGACTGAAACCGCAAGAATAATGGAACCACAACAAAGCAACTTGAGCCAATCTTTCCATTCTCCTAATTTGACACTATGACTAGACACAAAAGCGGGGTAAGCCATAACACCCAAGTAAATCGAACTCAAAGCACAACTCAAGCCTACAGATAGTCCCTTATGACGACCGAACAACCAAGTTCCCACCTTACTCTTCAAGCCGAACGTCAAACCAGCCAAGATACAAGTAGAGACAAACAGGAGGCCACACCAAATGATGCGCATACGTCGTGTCGGTGGCTCAGTCACCGGCGGAGGCGGCCTAGCTGGAGGCCGCTCGGCTCGCCGGTCGCTTACTCGGGCTCAGCGACCGAGAGATCCACTGGAGGCAGCAGGAGGCCGCCTAGCTGGATGCCGCTTAGCTCGCCGGTGGTTAGCTCAGGCTCAGCGACCGAGGATTCAACTGGAGGCGGCGGAGGAGGCAGGAGGCCGCCTAGCTGGATGCCGCTTGGCTCGCCGGTGGTTAGCTCAGGCTCAGCGACCGGGGATTCCACTGGAGGCGGCGGAGGCGTCGGGAGGCCGCCTTGCTGGTTGCCGGCATGTTGGGGGCCACCTGGCTGGTCCTCGGGTAGCTGGACGCCGCTTGGCTGGACATGAACCGCTTGAGGTGGAGTGATCGTCGGAGCCGGAGATGAGGGAGGTGAGATCTAATCGTTCTGGGGTATAACATAGGGTATGGGGTTCAAATATTAGGGTTTACGGATGGAGGCCGTTTTTGTCCTATTCAATCTTATTTGAGAAATGATTATGAGAATTCAAATATATTTAATACGAGTCATACTTACCATATTTAATATGAGTCCAATCGTTCTGCAAATGAAGCCTAATTTAAGAAGGAAAAAAATGCCAAATTGATACGGATCTATTGAGAATTATTAGTATATTTACTATTTATGGTATATTATTTTCTATTAAAATATAAAAAAAACTAACAGTTTGATTAATGTATATTATATTTATGTGTATGTGTGAGAGTCATATGGTAAATTGAAATGACATTTTTTTTTTTGAAATTCATATCCGAAGCAAATATATTTGTTAATAATTAATATTTTAACTATATTAAATTTATATCAATCTTACGCTACAAAATTTATTATTATTATATATACTTTGCATATAATTTAACCTTTACTTTTAAGCTTTGAATACTGTGACATACAGTGCCAACGATTTATAGCATTTTTTTAAAGCAAAAGATGAAATATAGCCATTTTTTTGAGAAAGATGAAATCTAGCCATTTTGGTTGGCAAAAGTACTGTTGTACCTTATTAATGTTTTACTTATCAAACATATTAAAAAATAAAAGAAAAAAGAGTCCATCTGCGCACGCCGACACATTAATCTCTTTCTCTCCTCCATTGTTCTTTGTTCTGTGCGTTGTGCTTCTGTAAAAAAAATAAAAAATTATCATCTTCCCAAAATTTATTCAAAAGTGATCTCTTTTCAAATATCATCTCCAACATCACCAAGGGAATCCCCTTTTTTAGAAGAAAAAAGGTACATTAACATAAACTGAATTTTGTTTTTTTTTTAATTATGTTAAATAAATTTTTTTTTGAACTCATTTATTATTTTTGTTCCTAAAATTATTGATTTGCCTTGTAACATTTTATTTTGTTGAACTCACGAGTTAAAAAAATATAATTTTTATGCTTAAATAAAAATGGTTGTGGTTTGGAGTTCATGACTTTTGGTAAGTTAGCTATTTTATGTGGATGATGATCATAGTAGGTTATTAGACTTTGTGTTGTGCAATGTATAGATTTGAATGGTTTCTGCTGGCAATTTATGTGCTTAAATTACAGGTAAGTGGTTTAAAAACGATAAATATATTCCCCTGCCCACGGTTTAAACGTATTCTCAGAATACGTTTTTCATATAAAACAAACTAGTCGACACTGCCCACCGTGGGCAGGGGAATATATTTATCGTTTTTAAACCACTTACCTGTAATTTAAGCACATAAATTGCCAGCAGAAACCATTCAAATCTATACATTGCACAACACAAAGTCTAATAACCTA